ATTTATTTTTTATTTTATCACTTTTTTTTATTTTTAATATTTATTCATTTTTTCTATTTTTATATTCCTTTTTTGTTTTTTTTTCAAAATAAAATAATATTTTTATATTACATTATAGTATTAAATAATAAAAAACTTAATAGTTTCAATAATAATAATTATAATAATAGTAAAAATAATATACTACACATTTTATATATCTAATAATAATAATCAATATTAAAATCAAAATAATAATATAGTATATATTTGCGAGTCATTTCAAAAGATATATATTAAAATCATAATCAATACCCACACTCATTTTTGTAGCATACCTCATTAATTAATTAAAATTTTTTTTCTTAAGTTTTTTAAAGGAAAAAAAAAAATTAAATTTGTATAGAATAATATTATATTTGTAACACCATAACTTTCAACAAACTGGTATGTATTCTTTTAAAAATTATTCCAAACTTATTCCAATATTCAATGTTAAACTTAAAATTTCAACATCACATCGTTTTTCATACATTCACTATTTATTAATTTAAATTATAACACTATATATGGATTTTAATGATGTGATGTTTGAAAATTTTAAATTTAATATCGAAATAAATAAATATATAAATAAATAAATTAAATTTATTTATTTATTTTTTATATCAACACACCCCATCTTTCCCCGCTTTAATATAAATTTAAATAAATATAGTTAACTAACAAATTTTCTTTTTTTCTTTTTCTTTTTTTTTCTCTTTTTTTTTTTTTTTTTTTTTGATACTGTTTTTATTTTTCCTCCCAATTATCATTTGTTTTTCTGTGTCACACATTATTCGACAAACCCTACTACCGCCTATTTATAAACTCATATACCCTTCATTACAATTATACTGTTTTTTTATATTATATTTATCATTTTTGTTTATTCGTTCTTTTCAAAAAACTTTCAATCGTTTTTAACATATTGTGTTTTTTTCTGTGGATGTATCCAAAAATAACTTTTTTTCTAAACCCACCCTAAAATTAAAATTTTTTTTATTTTATTTTTTTTTTTATTTTTATTTTTTTTTTTTTAACTGATTTTTAAAATTTTTTCTGCCCACTCTCATTGGTGTTTTTTTTTTTTTCATTATTTTTAATTGTTTTTTTTCAAATATTTAATAATTTATATCATAAATCAAAAAATTCAAAATCTCTGTACATTACTTTAAATACCACCACCACACAAAAAAAAAAAAAAACAATATTAAAATCCAATTGATTTTAATTATTCAATTACTTTCACATATTTATTTTTATATATTTTATTTATTTATTTAAAAAATTATATTTTTTTTTATTATTAACACACAAAAAATATTTTAATATTTTCACTCTCCCTCATAAAAAAAACACGAATATTATATTAATATATATACAACTATATATAAAAAATATACCACATCACACACACACACATTTATATAATATCTATTTATTTTTCACACACACAAACAATTTAATAATTACTATATTTATATAAAATAATATTATTTCCATTTATTTATTTATTTATTTATTTATATATATAAATTTTTTTAAAAATAATACAGTTTTAAACAAAAAAAAAAAAAAATCTTTGTAGAATTAAAATTTAAAAATACACTTTGTTTTATAGACGATCCAATCAGATTTCTTAAAATTTTTAGAATAATCAAATAATTATAATAACATTTTTTGCATTATAATTATATATCATAAATACTATCCCAACCATCAGTAATAATAATTTTATTTTTTTTATTTAATAATTTATAAAAACATAAATACACATACATACACCATATTAATAATAATTTAAACTTATAAAAATAATATACACATTATACACACATATATATATATATAAAATAAAAAATGATATATCCAAATGATGTTATGAATGAAGTACTTCGTGATGAAATTGGATGTGATTTATTTAGAAGTTATTTAAAGACAATTTATTGTTCAGAAACTTTACAATTTTGGTTAGAGATAGAGAACTTCAAACAATATGCTCCACCACCACCAGCAAACCAACCATCAGGTCCACTTTTAGCATTCTCAACTACTCCATTCGACACCAACTCATCCTCATCAGCTACATCATCACCAGCTTCACCAAACAACAATAATAAATCATCACCACAACAACAATCAAGTGGTTGTTTCTCCTCATCCTCATCACAAACAGTGTAGCAACGTAATTCAAAAGATACCAAACATTTAACTCAAGAAGAACTCCGTGAACATGCTCAAAATCTTTCGACAAATTCCTTGAAAATGGTTCAGAATTCGAATTAAATATTGATGCTTTCTCAAGAGAGGTAGTCCGTGGCAAACTTTCCGAAGAAATTGACTCATCATTATTTGATGATGTACAAAAAGTAGTTTATGAATCATTATGGATGGATTGCTTCCCTCCATTCACCCACACCATTAGTTATCAAAAATATAAACAAGAAACTGGTAAATGCCACCTCCCAGAATTCCTTCGTATTAGTTTCAAAAGAAAATCACCAAAAAAAGATGACATTAGAATGAAACCAATATCATCAAAATAAATAATAATAATAATAAATAATAATAGCAGTAGTAAATAGTTCAAAAAAACAACCCAATCAAAAATTAAAAATTCTTTCAAAAAAAATTATATATATACACAAACAACCCAACAACCCCCTTATAAATATTAATAACAACCAACAAACCCTCTCTATATATTCATTCATTAACAAGTGTTTGAATATTATAAAAAATCAATACATAATAATAATAATATTATTACGAAGTTTCTTTTAAATAATTATTTTAAAAACAAATAGTTTTAATTTTTTTTTTCTCAATATTAATTTATCTGTGTAAATACAACTAAAAAAAATTAATAAAATAAAATTTTATAAAAACTTAGTATACTATTTTCCTTTTTCATTTTTATTTTTTATTTTTTTTTTTAAACCAAAACAATTAAGTTTGGTGGCAGAGCGATCATGTGGATAAAATATTGGTATATAAAATTGTATAATTTTTCATTAAAATTAAAAAAACAATTATATTTTATAAAAGTTTTATTACATTTTATTATTTATTTGTTATTGTATATAGATTTATTTCTTAACATAAATAAAGTAATATTGTATTAATTAATAATAATAATCAATTTACTATTACCATGATTTTTTTTTATAAAAACATGATTAGTATTATTATGAATTAATAAATAATAATTTTACTGATAAATATTAAAATTTTTTTATATTTATAAATATAGTTTTGTTTTAAAACTATAAAGCTTTGCAGCTCTATAGTTATATAAATATAAATAATTCTTAAATCAAATAATTGGGTGTTTTTTATTGGAATTTAAAAATAATTTTTTTTAATTTTTTTTTTTTTTTTTCGTTTTTTTAAAAATTTTAAATTAATTTAAAAAATATAGTTTTTTATTATTTTTTATTTTTTTTAAAGCAAACCTAAATTATATTATTTATAAATAAAATAAAATTAAATATTCATGTTTCGAAGATCATTAATATATATGATCTCTAATAAAATGGTAGTACCTACTTCAACAACAGCTTCAAAAATATCAGATTTTTCCAATTCATTTTCAAAAATTATAATTTTAGAAGGAAATATTAGTGCTGGGTAAGATATTATAATTGTAATAATATAATAATAATAATGGTAATAATAATAATTATAATAGCAATAATAATTAAAATTGATTTGTAATTATTTACTAATTATTTTATTTGTTATTATTATTATAATAGTAAAACATTTTTGGCATCAAAGTTAGGAGATATTTTAGGATATAAAGTATTTTTTGAACCAACTACTACAAATCCATTTTTAGAATCATTTTATAAAGATCCAAAGAAATATGCATTGATTATGCAGTTATGGTTATTAAACCAAAGATATAACACCTATTTAAATGCTCTTCAATATAGTATCGAAAATGATAGGGGTGTAATTTTAGATAGATCGGTATATAGTGATTGGGTATTCGCAGAGAATTGCAGATTGGAGGGTTTAATTAACGAAGATGGTTTTAAAGAGTACAGTAGAAAAAGAGAACATTTCCTTTCAAATATCCCAATTCCAAACACAACTTTATATCTCGATGTAAACCCAAAAGAATGTTTATCTAGAATTCAAAATAGAAAAAGAGATTGCGAGCTATCCATACCCCTTTCTTATTTAGAGGGTTTAGATTCTTGTTATAAAAGTTTTTTAAAAGAAATGAAACTAAAAGGTTCAAATGTTATAGTTAGAGATTGGAATAATTTTGGCGACCCATTAAATATAATAAAAGAAATTAATAGTACCAATGTATATAGCAATAGTATAGATAGAAAGGCTTTATTAGACCTAGAATCAATTCGACAACTGTAAGTAATTTAGATATTAAAAAAACTTTTTTATAGCGCAAATATTAATATTTTTTTATTTAAAATTTAGAATTAATGAAACAGAAAGCGAAAAGATCAATTTAAGTGAACAAAATTTCTTTTTAAATGAAAGCAAAAATAGAAAAAATCTAGTTTAATAAAGAAATTTTTTTTTTTTGTATATGCCATAATAAATTAAATTATTGTTTATTATTTTAGTTTTACTCCTTTTTTTTTATTTAATAAAAAGATGATTTATATTTGTTTTATTTATTTTTATTTATATTTATTTTAATGTTTAAAATTAATAAATTTAACCCCTTCGCTTTCAATTGTATTTTTGTACAATTCAATGGTTTCATCGAAGATTTCTTTAGTTATATCCATTATCATTTTAAAATCTTCTTCGGGGATTTCTTCTGGTCTTAATATTCCAGAGATGGCATCCTTGTAATTGGCCTCAAGAGAAACTTTAATTTTTGCAAGTATTTGTAAAATTTCTTTATGGGTTTTTCTTTTTAAGCTTTCGAGGTTCTTAAAATGGCGATAGGATCCAAGCAAAGTGTCTCTATATTGAAGCGCACGGCAAATAGTTTGGCTTGCACCATTCAATGAAGAAATCTTTACTTTTATTAATTTATAAGTTTCTTTATTTAATTCAGCAGGTGCACTGGTAAAATAATCTCTTTCTTTCCCTGGTCTATACGGTGATGTTGAAACGGTTAGATCTGGGTCGTATATCATTAAATTTTTCAATTGTTCCACGGGTACTGAAGCGAAAAAAGATTTTAAAAAATTTTTAGATTCGTTTGTATTACCAAATTTGGAATCTATAAACTTTTTTTTGTAGTAATCTTTCATGTGGCACGACGATAAATAAAAAAGGTTACACTCTGAGAAATAGGGACCCATTGGCGATATTTTGGATATTGTTTTTTTCATATTATTGCTTATAGAAACTGCAAGGTTTGTTGGGTAAAAATGATCTTTATAATCTTCTTCAAATTTGCAATTAAAAAAATTATATGCACCACCATAAACTAAACAGTACTCCCCATTATTTGTGTAAAGTTTTTCAAAAATTGTAGCTGCATTGTCATAAAATAATCCCTAAAAAAATAAAAATTCATTAATATTTTTGATACGAATTTACCCACTATATGAAAATACTTATAAAAATGACTCACAAGGTATGGATTTTTTTGGAGTTTTTTAAGGAAAGGATCTTCATATTCCAAAGATAGACCTGTCAAATCGCTATCTTGGGAATGAACATAAACAATTGATTTGTGTGCATCAGCTATTTGATTTTGAAACTCAATGGCAGCCGGATGTTTGTGCAAAAACTCTCTTGACAAGCCATATGGATATATACATTGATTATCATCCATTTCTATTCCTTTTATATATAGATCTTCAGTTCTTTGAGTGACAGATTTTTCTATTGTTTCAACTATTTTATCAATACTCTCTAGATTTTTTTGGGAACCCCAACGATAAAAGATTAATAATATAGGAATTTGAAGTTCCTTTATTTCACCTTTAAGTTCTTCAGGTATCAATGATTTCCAGTAATTATTATTGGGTCTTTCAGTGGAAATTATCTTTGTGTTTACACCAAAAACAATGGAGACATTTGGGTGGGTACTTGCCTCTTTAATCATTTTTGCAAGCCCAATAATATCTTTGATTTTATTGGATGAAATCGGAGTCATAGTTACGAAGGAAAAATCAATTTTTTTATCATTTGTGTTTTCAATAGATGTAATATGTTCCATATTAAAAAGAAGAGTGGAACTTCTTTCGTTGTCATCATAGATTACACCATATTTTAGTGTGTTTTTTTTTTCGGGAGAATTGGGATTAACTTGGGAATCTTGAGGGTTTTCTATAGCGGGAGGTACTCTATTCTGGCACTTTTGGGGGCAAGAGCAGGTTGAATCACAAGTTTTGTTTTTCTTTTTACAACTACATTTTTTATTGGAGCAATTGAGGACTTTACAATGGCACATTTCTTGTTATAGGTTTTTATGAATTTATTGTAAATATTTTTAAAAGTTAATATTGATTGTTTATTTGTTATGTATAATATTGTTATATAAAGTTTAGTAAAAAATGAATAATATTAAAAAAAAAAAATTTATATAGAAAAAATATAAAATAAAAAAATTATATTTTATTTTATTAAATAAATTATTAATAAAATATTAATTTTAAATTTTTTTAAATAAAAATTTCATCAAAAAAAATTAAGAGTGTGAAAAATATAATTTTTTTGAGAAAAAAATAAAAAATAAAAAAACCATTATTTGAAAATAAGTGAGGAGTTGTTTTTTTTAATTAGGAGTATTTAAAAGATAGGATAAAAATTTTTTATATCCACAAAGAAAAAAAAGAAAGAAAATTTTTTTTATATCTACAAATATAAAAAAGTAAACTTCTATCGGAAATTTACAGTAGTAATTGTATAGTTATTTTAGCCCAAGAGAAAAAAAAAAAACTATATTTTTTTTTAAAAAAAATAATTTAATAGGTTTGATATATCAACATTTTATTTATCAATAGTTCTTTGTATTTATATTTTAAAATTAAATTATGTTTTTTATTTTTTTAATTTTTTATTTTTCCCACCAAAAATATTTTTTAATTTTTTAATTTTTTTAAAAATTGATTCAGAGCAAAGATATTTTAATAAAGATTAATTTATTTTTTAAAATATAAATTTAATAGTTATATTTTATTTTATCTAAATTGTTTTTTATAATTTATTGTTAAATTTAGTTTTATTAATTACATAAGTTTTATAATAGTAATATTTATTTTGATCAATAATTAATTATAATAGAGTTTGAATATAACTGATGTTATATTACAGTAAACTAGATCGGATATCACACAACAACTCTAAATTAATATCGAGTTATTTTAGTTTGGCTTTGAGGGCATTATCAGTTATTTTTGCTGCAGTCCAGATAGTTCAGTCATAATTAATTTATAATCATTTTTGAAAATAATTGTTCCATTCTCTAGCTTTAAAGGAAAAATTCCATCAATTAGTAAACTAGGGAGATATCAAGATCAAATGAAGAAAATTATGGTTATTCAGAAATGCAACACATAAAAAAAAAAAAAACAAATAAATTAAAAAAATAAAAACAAATATATTTTTTAATTTTTTTCAAAATTTAATTTTTTTTTAAATTTTTATATTTTTTTTTTTTTTTTTTTTTTTTTCAAATTTATAATTTTTATTTTTTTTAAATGTAGTTAGAGGTTTATTTAATAAATACTAAAATAAATTAATAGTTTTTTAATAAAAATAACATAGTTATATAGATCAGTAAAGTTAATATTATAGTTATAATACGGTGTATTATTTTTTTATTAAATAAATAAACACACATACACACATACATTTGTATTGTGTGTAGTGTATTAATATAGATACAAACAAATAAACAACAAAAATAATAAATATAAATTAAATATACAAATATAAATTTATAAATATATAATTAAATAATATAATTAGATAAATAAAAATAAAATAAAAAAGGCAATAATGGATATTAGTAATAGATGCACAGATGTAAATGAATTATTATCAGCATTACCAGAGTATCACAGAAGGTTTCAACTTAATCCAGAAGATTCAGATAATTTTATAAAATATGTTAATACATTAATTTATTTAAGAAAGAAATCAATTGGATCAGATTCATCATCCTCCTCTTCATACTTGGCAATATCTCCACCAATTCCTCCTTCACCACCACATTCAACTGGGAAAATTAAAAAATTGGAAGATGTTTTTATATATATAGATGTCTTAAAAAAATCACCTAATGTTGCTTCTGATTTTTTTGAAATATCTTTTCATAATCCAATGTTATTCCCTACAGCACATAGAGTGGATCATTATAATCCTGTTACTGTACCAAGATTTAACCAAGCAGTTTATTATGCACCAAATGCCAATGGGTCAACTTTATATGGAAATGTCAATAATAACAACAATATACCTACCACCACTATTACCGCTACTACCACTTCTACCACTTCTACTACCACTACTACCACTACAAACACCACTATAAATACAGCAATTAATAGCTATGGTAATAATAATAATAATAGTAATGATAATAATAAAAGTAATTATGGTAATAACAATAATAATAGTAATCTATCAACAAATAGAGATAGATCTCAAAGTGCACCTGTTACAATAGGGTCGTCATCATTACTATCAGTAGCATTGTCATCAACAACATCAGTTACAAATTCAGTAAATATTAAAACTACAGGGGATAATAAGGTTGAAGTTAATGGATTAGGTTCTTCCCAACTCTCAATTTTACCAAATTTATCAAATTTTCAAATTGGTACATCACCACCATTATCGTCACAGTTTTTACCAACTCATTCAATAAATATAAAAAATATCAATATTAATAATAATAATAATAGTTTTGTAAATAGTATAAACAATAAAAATAATGGTAATAGTACATCATCGCTTTATGTTGATGATAATTATAATCCAGATGAATATTTGGATGATAACAATGAAAATGAAGATGATAATAGTAATAACAACAATAGCAATAATAAAAATAATTTAATAAATATTAAGGTCAATCATTTCAGTGATAGTTGTGGTGATTTACATTTTGAAAAATTATCAACAAGCGATTTAGAAGCAATAAGAGCAAAATATGCAAACAGTACACTAACCGAAACCATGAATATAGCAAGCAAAGAGCCAAAAGTTAGAAACTGGTCATTAGAGTTTTGGAATGCTCTTCAAATGGATCATAATTGCGGTACTGAAAGTTTGTAAGTTTATAAATTATATTTATTTTTTATTTTTAATAGAGCTATATATTAATACTTTTAATTTATAGAAAAAGAAGTCAAAAAATCCAGTCAATTGCTAAAGAGTTTGTTGAGGTTGCAACTAAACATGGTGTTACAATTATTCAAGAAAAACAATTATCCAAAGGGTGGACTATCCCACCTCATGATGCAGGCGGTATTGCTGGTGGATTAAAGTATTTAAAAGATGGAATTTTCTTTAAATTTGCTGTGGATGCATTTGGTATTTATGGTGGTGATGCTTTTGCAATGAAGTCAGCAGGCCATGAATTAAAAGGTTTAATGGCATATTTTAATTGTCAAATCGATGGTTTATTTTTACCAATGATGACATTGATCGATTATATGTAAGTATTATAAAAATATTAATAGTATAGATAAAATATACAAATATTAACTTTTTTTTTTTTTTAAAAAATTATAGGGGTTATAGATTAATTGCAACAAGTCAATTAAATATTGAAGCAGATAAAACATTGGTTTATGGCTCTAACGATGGTGGTGAAACAGTTCGTAATAATAGTTTGGAAATGGAAGATAAAATGAAGAAAGCAGCAGAGATTTTAAATTTAAAAGGGCATTTAACAGGACAAAGCGAAAATAAAACCTTTTTATATGGACCATGTGATATTGAAGGTCATATTACAAAAGATAAACATTTTGTGGTAATAGATACAGCACGTGTTTTCCCGCCTGAAAAACCAATTGAGGGCAAGAGAGGATCTCATCTCTATACTCTTCTAAGACCAGAGCTTGTACGTAGTAGCAAGGTGCCATTAAGTAGTGATGCTTTTACTAAATTTGGGGGATCAGATTCAGATGTCAACAATGAGGAGGTCGAAAGATCACAAAAGCGTTTATTAAATCATGTCATACCAAGTTTTGTGCTTTTAATGAACCAACGTACAAAGAAAACAAAGTGTAAAAATATAATGGAGCTATCGCATAATCTCATGTTAATCGACAGTATGCACAGAGAAGGAATCAATGTAAGATATTTGCAACGTTTAAAGAAGACTGATATTCATGCCCTCGATCAGCGTTTATCAACAATTATCAATACTGAAATTATTGCTAGAAAAATAAAGAATCGTCTTAGATCCCATTTTAGAAGCACACCATTAATTGATGGCCAACCAGACCTTGATAGTATTTGCAAATTTTTAAATAGAATGATAACAATCTCTCTACTTCAAAGTTGTGACTTGGATGGTTTTTCGTTAGAGTTGCTATTACATAGAATTTCACAAATGACCGGTATATCTTTTAAGAAAGATGATACCTATAAAAAGTTTGAACATAGCGAATCTCTTAAAGTATCAGATATCGATGAAATTAAACCAAAGGTTAAATTCTTGCACATGGTTCCCTATCAGCAAGGTGTCGCTTTATTCCATCAAGCAATTTCACTCTCTAAAACAAACGATATTCAAACCGATAATACTTTTCATTTGGCTTCAGAAAAGTTTAAATTGGCAATCCAATCCAAACCTGATGACTATGAAATTTTAACTCATTGGGGTATTTTATTGTCAATGCGTGCAAAGTTTTTATCAGAGACCAAAGACTACATAAAGGTTCATGGTAAAGCAGAAATAGAGAAACTCTACCAAATTGCTATCGATAAGTTCCATCTAGCTGTAAAAATTAAAAGAAATCACCATTATGCATTGTACAATTGGGCTGATGCTCTTAGAAACTGGGCCTCAATAAAAAGTGGTTCAGATTCGACAGAGTTAGAAAAAAAAGCAAAAATGAAATTAAAAGAAGCTGGTGTTTTCGAAAAGAAATGGTTCTTTGGCACTTTAGAAACTGGTGGTGCTGCTTCGTTGCTCTCTGGTAAAGAGGCTGGTAGTTTCATCATTAGAAATAGTAATAGTAGACCTGGTAGTTTTGTATTTTCCTATCTATCTGACCCACACAGAAAAATTCTACATTCGATCATTAAATCCTCATCCAATGGTTATCATGTAGAAAATTTACCACCAAGAAAAATATCATCCAGCACAACTTCATCCCCCGCAAGAAGTGGTAGCTCACAAAACTTAACAGAGTTGGCTTCGTTATCATTGTCTTCTTCAACTACATCTTTATCATCATCGACATCATCAACATCATCAACATCATCATCATCATCAATCCCAAGAGTAGGTAGTTCAAATAATTTAAACAAAAATCAAGAAATTGTTTTTAATGAAGCAAGCACAACAACTCCAACTTCAAGAAATTTAAATTCACTAAGCCAAACATCGTCAAATAAAACACTATCATATAAAACTTTAGAGGAATTTGTAATCGAAAAAATTAAACAAGGTTATATTCCAATTACAAAAGATTGGTGGGAATAGAGTTTGTTAAAAAAATAAATAAAAAGAAAATTAATAAAACTTTCCTAAAAACAGTATTATATATTATAACTCCACTTTTTTTTTTTTTTTATATTATGTTCATAATATTATAATTACAAATACAAAGAAAATACATATATTTTATTAGAAATAATAATTTGGTTTTTTTTTTATTTTTATAATAATTTTGAATTATAGATATAACTTTGATTATCTTACTACCCATCTAACTTTTTTGAAACCCCAAAATGCAATACCAACATAAATTACAATGAAACCCCAAATTGCAGCACCATCGATATATCTCATCCATTTGTGGAAACCATATGTTAACATGAACTGATCCCCATTGGTAATTGGACAATAATACTTTGTACCTATGACGTTTGCTCTATTGCTGGGATCTAAAATTGGAACTGGAAGAGCACCTTTATTATTTGTGCATACGAATGTGAGACCCGTGAATTCGTTGGTACAAGCTGCTTCCAGCGGATACCTTAACATATCGAGATAATGTGCCCAAATCCAACCATTAGGATAATTTGGTCTTGCAATAACGAAACCTCCAAATAATGTTGTTAAAGATAAACCTATACCACAGACTGTTGATGCCATAACTTCGTTGGGTAAACAAATAGCTAAGCATAGTGCAAATGCATCATACATAATATACGTTATAATGAAAACATATAGACAATACCAGAATTTTGATGAGTGACGCCCTGAATCTAAACCCGCAATCCAGAAAGTTGGGATAATGTAGAGTAAACCAGTAGATAAAATGAATGGATACGATGTTAAAACATAGGATATCATGTAGGCAGTTGAATGATAAAAACCAGACGTGACTTCCCTATAAAATACACCTCTTTCTAATACAGTTGTTGGAATATTACCGATAGCTACCATACCAGCGAAAATAAAAGAAAAGAATAATAATGAAACACGACCTCTTGCATCTTGTTGTTCATAATCCATACGAACAAAGAGAGTACCTAAAAGAACAGCTAAAAATATTGATCTAAGACAATTTGAAATGAAAATCTCGGGACGTCTTATACGTGATAACCAACTACGACTACACAACGCTTTAAACTGGGTCATCCAAGAACTAGCAAATATTCGGTCGTACGTTCTAATTTTATAATCCGGCGGAATTAATTCACCATCCATAATTTCATATTCTTTCTTGCGGATATCAGACTCTTCATATGCCTTCTTTGGATCTAAGGGTATCATTTCACCATTTGGACCTTCAACAGTTTTGCCTTCATCAGCAATAGTCATTACAAAATCTGCAGGATTAATATGTGGTTTAATATGCATACCTTGTTTGGCACAATAGTCTAAAATAACACTGCTCTTGTCACCTAAAGGACCAAAATAAACTGTTTCACCACCCTTCTTTAAAAGTAATAGTTGATCAAAGAACTCGAATATAGCAGCTGATGGTTGATGTACTGTACAAATAACAGTACGTTTCATTACTTTGGCGATTTTTGCAACAACATCAATAACTTTATATGCCTAATAATAAAAAATAAACAATTAATAATTTAAAAACTAATAAAGAAAATAGATAAAAACCAATGTTACATACATCTCCACTATCTAAACCTGATGTTGGTTCATCTAAAAACAATATTTCTGGATTTGATGCCAACTCCACTCCAATGTTAACACGCTTTCTTTGTGAGACTGATAAACCATTACCTAAAACACCAATTTTTAAATTTGAAATATTTTTTAAACTTAAAACCTCTACAATTTTATCAACAAAAATATCTCTTTCTTCTTTTGTGACATCTGGTGGTAATCTGCATCTGGCACTAAAGGCAATTGCTTCTCTTACAGTTTGAGTTGGTGGTAAAACATCCATTTGTTCAACATAGGCTCTTATTCTGTTTGTATATATTGATGGTGGCTGACCATTAATTAAAATTTCACCAGTAATATATCCACCAGTTTTTCTTTGGGCTAAAACATCCAATAGAGTTGATTTTCCTGCACCTGATGGACCCATTAAAGCTAACATCTAATTAAAAAAAATTAATAAATGGAAAATAGTCTATTTAAAGAATTAAATTAAATAATTTTATCTTACCTGACCAGGTTTAACATAACCATCAATATTTCTTAATAATTGTAATTTTGTACTTTTCTTTTTTTTTGGATTGTCAGGGTCATCTTCTTTATAATCTACAGAATAACATAAATCTCTAAACTGTAAATAACTACCTACTTCTGCACCAATATCTTTTAGGCCCCCTTTCTTTACCCTCTTATGTTTACAGTTATCATCATTGCAATCGCATATTTCATTAGTATCTAAATTATTTTCATTTGGATCTGGATTGAGATCGACTTTTGGTGGCTCTTTACCCTCGGGTGTTTGAATTTTACCAGACAATGGTGTGTTGTTTTTTGGTGTCATATCGAAAACTGGTGTATTTTTTCCTGAACGACGATTAATAATTGAACCTTTTGGTGATGTGACGGATGGACTTTTGCCCCTTCTGCTACCGGTTAATGGGGATTTAATATCGATGACATGTTCACCTTCATTTTCTTCATCTTCTTCTCTTTGTCTTTCTTCTTCTGTGATATCTAAATAGTCGTTATTATTACGTGGTATTCTTTTAATAGCCTCTTGACTAACCCTTATATTTTCATCATTATCTTCTTTGCTAACTATAATTTTCTTTTTACTTCTAAGCTTTTTAACTGCTAGTTTAGATTTCTTGTCTTCAAAGTTGAGATACTTTAACGCCAAGAAACATACAACATAGAAAAATACAATATAACCTGATAGGATACCTAAAACTACCCATTTGAAATAATCTGGATTATCAATACCAAAAGCATTTATAATTTGTTCACCAGATGTAAATTGGCATACTTGGTTTCCACCATAGCCCTCTGGATATGGCAGGTTTAATAATGGATCACTTCTAGGTGGTAACAATTCGGTCGGTTTGCATGAATAAGTAGTATCAGTAAATTCATTGATTGATAGCCCTTGGAAAATCCATGTATATGGTGATATATAGTATAACCAAATCCACCATCCTCCAATTGTATTTTTAGGAGCAGTGAAACCAGAGAATAATAACCAAACTGATAATACTACAGAGGCAAATACATTTGCAATTTCAATCGTCGGTGAAACAGCTGCACACATTTTAGCAAAGGATAATGATAGGTTATCGGTTCTGTAAATAAAATAATTATTAGTAATTAAAATTAATTATTTATAAAATAAAAAAAAATTATTATTACTTACAAAATTAATAAAATCATATAATAAACAAACCTAATAAAGGATGCTCTTAGATTTGCTAACCAATACACAATCGGACCAAAGAAAGCAACTTCGAGAATACCAGCTGGCATATCACAGATAATACTTGAAAGGAAATAGGCAATAGTTCTATAGTAATGCATCGTTTTTTGCGAATAAAATACCTTTCTTTCATCAAAAAATGAATTTACAGCAGCAAAAGAAGAGAAAATAATAGTTGTCATAATAAAGAAAATTAAACCAAATCTTTCTTGACCACCACTTTGATTATGACCAATTCTCCAATAGAGTGTACCCAAGATTAAACCAAAGAAAATACCCTTAAATATTCTAGTTACAAAATTATAATAATTTCTTCTAATCATTGTAAAGCCTCTTTTTAAACAAATACCAATTTGATACCAAACACCATGTGGATACATTTCTAATTCTTTTTGAGTTGAATCTACTAACATATCTGGTTTTGGATCATCGATAATACCATCTGGGTTCTCTTCTAATTTCTTCATTAGATCTTTATAAAGATATGACTCTTTATATGCTTTAACAAAATCTTCTCCAGTCTTACATTTTGGTGGATGAATATATGAATATCTTTCTGGTGCATCTACAACTTCCTCTGTTTATTTTAAAAAGAAATTAAAAAAATTAAAAAATTAGATTTTTTTTATTTAAAAAAAAAATAAAAAAAAAAAAAAATAAAAAAAATACTTACGAAAAAATTCTGCAGGATTATTATGCTCTGGACAAATAAAACCTAAACTATCGAAATATCCTAATGCATCAGCCATTGTTCCAAAATAACAGACTTTTCCTTTATTAAGTATCATCAAATTGTCAAATAATGATGTCAATTGAACACTTGGTTGTAAAAGTGTGACCAAAGCTGGGGAGTAACCATACATTACAAATTTCTTTAAATCACTCATAATTTCAAAAGAAGTCGAACTGTCCAGACCTGATGTTGGTTCATCCATTAAAACCAAATTACTTCCTTTAATTACACCAACCCCAATTGTAACTCTTTTCTTTTGACCACCTGATATACCTCTAATGAAATTATTACCAACTAATGTATTTTCAGATTGCTTTAAACCAAGTAAATTCATACAATTATCAACCATTTCTTTTTTCTTTTCTGATGTATATTCAGAACGACCTTGACAATCTAATGCGAATCTAAAGGTTTCTTTAACTGTTAAAGTTGGTACATGAACATCGTCCTGGGTTACATATGAAATATCTCTGTGATGGTTCTTGTGGTTTATATGGTGCCCATTAAATAATAATTCTCCTTTGAAATTTTTATCTTTTAATTGACCAGCTAACATTTGAAAAATAGTTGATTTTCCACAACCTGGAGTACCTAGAATTAATGTCATTTCTTTTGGCTTTAAATAAAATGAAACGTCATCCAATAAATTGATTTTAATTTTTTTATTTTCTCTATGCTTTACTGTGTAGGTTGCATTTTTACAATAAACATATAAACCAGTTTTATCACCATCCCTTGTTTCTTTAATTTTTTTAGTTAATTCATCATCTTCGTATCCTGGTATTAAATCTTCTAACGGTATTGGGAAATATTCATCTTTTTTACCACCTTCACCATGCTCTGCTGCTATTTGCTGATAACTTTCATTTTCTTCGTCACTTGTTATTTCTTTATTGTTATTATTATTATTATTATTAATAGAATTATCGAAATTATTATTATTTATACTATTATTATTTATACTATTATTAATTTCATTGTTATTATTATTGTTAATACTATCATTTATTATTGATTCTTCGTCTTCATTCCTATTTTTGGGAATAGATAAACTGGGTGAATCTTTATCTTTAGGATCTTGTTTAGCCATTTTATATTACAAAAATGGGAAAATCCTATAGATTTTATTTGTTTAATTTGTATATTATTTTAAATTACTATTGATTAATATTACTGGTATATTTTTCTTAAAAGTATAAATAAAATAATAATTATAAAATATAAAAAAAATATTATAAAATAAATATAATAAAAATTTAAAAAAAAAAATTAAATAGTATTAATTTAATATAAAATAAATATAAATATACATATATATATACACTTTATGTACAACGAAAATAATTCGCTGTGTGTATGTGTTTTTAATTGAATTTAATTAAAAATAATGAAAATAAAATACAAACAAGCTCACACAACCACACTTATTTTCACACCTAAAAAAAGATTATATTGGATTTTACAAAAATAATAATATTAGATATAACAATAATAATAATAATAAAAACAATTTAATTGATTAATGATATTTTAATAAATAATCCTTATTTTTTTAATATTTTGTAACTTTTCATTAAATATTGGCCTTACTCCAACGAATAACCAAACATTTTATTTTATTTTTTTAAATTTTAAATATTTGAAAATTTATTTATATAAATATTTAAATTGTAAAATTATTTTTTTTAAAAATTATTTATATGTTTATTTATTTATTTATTTTGAAATATGGGGGTGGAATTATAATGTAGTGTGTGTGTGAATGTGTGTTAGATAGGAAAATCAAAAGGGTGTTGTTTGTTTATTTATTATATTTTAACACTATTTTTGTGTGTGTAGTATTTGTCAATTTTATTTTTTTTATCATATTATTTTATTTTTCCTATTAATAGAATTTTATTGAAATTTATATTAGTCAATATATTTTATAAATAGAATAATTAAAATATACTAAAATTACCTATACTAAATATTTAAGTAATTAGTAACATGTGAAATATTTCCCTTTTACTTTTTCTAATTTAAAAAAAAAAAGGTTAAAATTAAAAAAATTTATACTAATTATAAGTATAAATATAAATTTAAAATAAAATAATACCCTGTTTAAATGGGCTTTAACTATGTACAATAATGTGTGCTAAAGTTATTTGAGAGGGAAAAACATTCTTTAAAGAAATTCAAAACATATTTTTTTTTTTTTATTATATTTAAAGAAGTTTAGAGGATAATGTGAAAGAGTGTGGGAGTAGACATTTTTACCTGTTTATTTTAATAATAAAGTGTGGGTTAGGTATTTGTGTTTAATTGTAACTATATTTAATTTTTATATATGTTTTGGTGTGTGTGGGTTTTTTTTTTTGAGAGTTTGGGGTTAGTAGTAATTATAAATCATCAAAATAATGATCATCACATAACATAGTTGTATATTATTTTTTAAATTATTTGAAAAATATATATATAACTGTGTGAATTTAGATATACATATTTTATAAATACCATAAAAAGTATTATTTTTTAAAATTTAAATTTTTTTTTTTTTTTTAATTTTTTTTTTTCAATACTAATTTAATATTTATTTAAAAATTATTGTTGATCATAAAGATAATAAGGTATATTATAAAATAATAGTATTATTATATTAAATTAATATTAGAAAATAGTATTAAATACCAATAAAAAAAATTATATTTATTTTATTTTGTGTGTGTTGTGTAAATATATATATAAATATATATCTTTTATATCTTTTTTTATTTTAAAAATAATTTTTATTTTTTTTATTATTATTTTTTTTTTTTATTATTTTTTTTATTATTTTTTTATAATTTCAAAATAATTTTTTAAACACAACTAAAATAAAAAAAATAAATAATAATGGATATTATTAATAATGAAGTAAATAATAAAAATATTATAAATAATAATAATAATAATAATAATAATATAAATAAAAAAAACAATAGTATTAATAGCAATAATAGTATTGATATGATTGATGATATAATAAAAAATAAAAGTGAAAATTTAAATAATAGTAAAAATAATATGACCATCTCAATAAAAAACGGTTCAATAAATAGCAGTAAATCATACCAACTATATTCAAGTTTAGATTCTGCATTAAATTCACAAGAAAATAATGATATTGACCAAGATTTATTAGATGGAATTGATGATATATCATCATTTGATGAAAACGATCCAGATTCTATATTTAATGATTTACATATGGGTTATGAAAACAATTTAGATGAAAAAATAATCATAGAACTAGATCAACAATTTAGAGAAAAATTACAAAATGCAAATGGAGGATCCCTATCAACAAAGAACGATTTAAGACAAAAGAATGCAATTAGTAAAAAGTACGGTCATGGTTATGAAGATGAAATGGATGAAGATGATGAAGACTACGATGAATACAACGAACAAGATATCAATGGATGTGAAGATGACTTATCAACCGACTCAACGAGTTCATTTATGGATTCAGATAGTGAACATGAAAACATCGAAAACGAATTGGCATCCAGCGGCTCAAATAACTCGAATGAAGAAGAAGACAATGGTCAATTTTTGAATATAGAAGCCGAGCTAAAAGAGAATAGGGAAACTTTAAAGAATGCTAAAAAAACAATTGCCTCTTTGATCGAACAAATTTCAGATTACCAAACACTAATAGAGGAGGAGAAAGAAAGGGAAAAAGATGAATTGGTTCAACACTATAACCAGCAGTTAGAAGAGATGGCATCTATAATTAATGGGCTAAAGAGGGAAAAGGCTTCAATTACCAACAACAATATAAAAAATTTAGAAACTTTGATGAAGGAGATTGAAATCATTGAAGAGAGTAACGATAGTTTGAAACAATCTTTGGAAAAAGAAAAATTAGAGAATATTAAAGCCATGGAAACTATATACCAACTCAAAGAAGAAATGCTTAAAAAGCAATTTAATAATGAAGTAGCCAACAGTAATCACATGGCTCTCTTCTCAGAGAAAATATTTTCTCAAGTAGTACTTGAGTTTCAAGTCGAGAATGGTAGTATAGCAAATGTTAAAATGGTACAGAAACAACCAAATGGGGCAGCTACAGATCAAATAACTATAAACCAATCTTTTATTGAAATTGAAAATGAAAAAAATGAACTGATGAAAAAGTTAATCACTGAAAAGGAAGAAAAGGATAATTTAGAAAAAACCTTACAAGAAGAGAAAAAGAAAAATGAAACCAGCAAGTCATCAATTGAAGAACTTGTAAAAAATATTAAAAAACTTATTAAAGACCATACAAATGTACTAAAAGAATTAGAAGAGGAAAAATCAAATAGTCAATCAAAAACTGATCAAATTAACCAATTAAAACTAAAAGTAATAAACCAAAATGTAAACTATAAATTAAATTTAAGATCATTATCTAAATAACATTCTTATAATTACTAACTCTATTTATTATATTTTATATACTAGGGTTTCAATACATCAATTGCATCTAATAATAGTTCAAAGCCCAAACTTCTTCATAGAACCAGCACATCAATAGAGATTACACATAATAGATCAGGTACATTTGGTAGTAATAAAAAACACAATGATGACAACAATAATGTAGAAGATAACTCTTCAGTAGGCAATAATAGCAGTTTAGATTTACGATCACTAATATCACCAACAAGAAAAGCATCATTAGCACTTCCACCAAAACCAATAAAGATTTCAAGTCCAAATAGTTTAGGTAACAATGGTCTCCATGTATCTTTTGAAAACAAATCACAACCAGTATCACCAATTCATTCACCATCATCTCTTCAAACAATCACAAATAATAAAGAGCAATCCAATGGAAATCAAGAAGAGAGACCTAAACTTACAAAAAGAGAAAGTAGCACTAAACTATTAAAGAGGAGCTCAGCTTTATTAGATTTGAAAATAGAAAAACTAGCACCATACAATGAATACATGATTTCATGGATTAATCATGACCCAGCACCAGCACCAATCCAATGTCTTGTTGAAGTTGGAAAGAATGTTTGGGTAGGATGTAGTGATGGTTCCATTAGAATTATTGACAAAGTGTCACATGCCACATTATCAACTAAAAGTGCACATTCGCCTAATGGAATTTATATAATGATTTGCGTAGGTAAAACTGTATGGAGCTGTAGTAGGGATTCAAAAATTAAAGTTTGGAGTGCAAAATCTGGAAAGCTACTTAAAGAACTCTCTGGTCACTATAGCCATGTTACTGCCTTGTTACTGGTTAATCAAACTGTTTGGAGTATAAGTGCCGACATGACAATACGTATATGGAGCACCTCATCTTATAAATGTATAAAGAAAATAGAAACAAAGAACTATCTTGTATCAATGGTACTACTCGGTAATGAAGTCTGGATCGGTACAGAAAGCACAATTTTAAGATGGAATATAGAAACATATGAACAGATTGGTATGCTTCAAGGCCACAAGAAGATGGTACATTGCCTAATTGTAGTCGATAATAAGGTATGGAGTTGTTCAAGTGATTGCCTGATATGTGTATGGGACCCAGAAACAAGCATGTGCATTAAACAATTCAAAGATCATTCAAGTAGAGTTTTTTATCTACTTTGTGTAAACAATTATGTTTGGTCCTGTGCATGGGATAAAACAATAAAGATTCACAACTCCAAAACCATGGAACTTGTTAGAGAAATTGAACCTATTCATAGAGATGCCCTTAGCTGTTTAATTTCAATTATTCCAAATGACTCTGCACCAACTGAAATCTGGAGTGGCTCATGGGACCAAACCATAGTTGTATGGAAATCATCACCAACTGTATCCCCTGTACCATTATCACCAATTCAAACCGATATTATTAATACTGCAAATGCTCTTATTGACAGTCTTCCCCCACCACCATCAAATACAGCTAAAACCTCACCTACAGGTATTCAAAACGGTAAACATAAGAAATCCCATAGTGCCACAAGTGCAAACTCTACACCAAAGCAACCAATGATTAATAACCATACCAACCCATCAGCACCAAAGAATGGAAATGATAACTCGGAAAAAAGTACAAAAAGAGGTTCTGTACGATTAACCAATTTATTTTTTGGTGGTGGACACTCATCATCAAACCATCAACACAACAACAATCATAATAGTAAAGACGGTATAGTTGGAAGTCAAAGCACACCAAACTTTAAATCCATACCTCCAGGTAGCGATAACCATAGCAACTGTAGTAGTGTATATAATAATAGTCTAAATAACAGTGGAAGCACCAGTGCAAACCTATCAACTAGTAATAGTATAGATGATGAATTAGCAAAATATTTAAGTAAACACCAACATCAACTAGAAAAAGTAATCTCTAATCAAATGAATCCAGTTTGTTCAATCTGTCAAACGTATGTAATTTTATTTATTTTATTTCATTATATTTTATTTTATTTTTTTTTTTTTTTTTTTTTATTATCCATACCTATTAACACTATTACTTTAATAATATATATAGTAAAATCAAACCAAAGAAACCAATTTATCAATGTAAACTATGTGCTAATCAAATTCATTGTGATTGTTTACAAAAAAGTTATAATAATCCATGCTCTGCAACTTTAGATAGATAATCATTTATTTACTATTTTAAATTATTATTAAATAAAAAAATGTAAAATATTTTAAAATGGAAGTTGTATTTACGAATTTTGAATAATTGGGGGGAAATTTTTTTTTTTTTTTTAATTTTTTTTAATATTTTTAAAATTTTTTTTTTTTTATTCACTTAATTTAATTTCATTTTTTTCATTAGTTTATAATAAAAATATAATAATGCTAGATGTTAATAACCTTCAAAAACTGAAAGTTGCAGAACTTAAAAAAGAATTAGAAGACAGAGGAATTACTAAAACAACAGGTTTATTAAAAGCAGATTTAATTGAAAAGTTAAAATCAATATTAGAACAAGGGCAACAACAAAAAGAACAACAACCTACACAATCAATTATTCCACCACCTCCACCCCCTAGAGAAGAAAATGAAGCACCTCTTCCACCACCTCCACCACCAGCAACTAATGAAGATATGGAAATCGATATAAAAAATAAAATTGAGAAGGAAATTCAAGATAAAGAAAATGAACACAAAGTTGAGGAAATGTTGAAGGCTGAAAAAGCAAAAGAAGAAGAAAAAGAAAAAGAGGAAAAGGTTAAAGAAATTTTAGAATCATCAAAAAAAAATAATAAAGAAGAAATCATACCAGTACCAGATAAAACCAAAACTGAACAAATTATACCAATAAAAACAACAACAACAACAACAACAACCACTGCCACAACCAGCACAAACACAAATGAAAAGAAAAGACTACACGAAGATAGTAATAGCAATAACAATAACAATCATATGACCAATGAAAATGATGACGATGATTTCGATTTAGCAACTTATAAATTAAAAAAGAAGCATGTTAAAGCAAGAAAAGACTGTCCATATTTAGATACAGTTGATAGATCAGTATTGGATTTTGATTTCGAAAAAATTTGCTCAATTTCATTTCATAATCACAACGTATATGCATGTTTAGTATGTGGTAAATATTTTCAAGGTAAAAGCCAAGACTCTCATGCCAACTATCACTGTTTACAAACTGGTCATCATGTATTTATCAATTTAAAAACCCAACAAATTTATTGTTTACCAGATGATTATGAAGTTATTGACTCATCATTGGACGATATTAAGGTATGTATAGTTTAAAAAAAAAAAAAAAAAAAAAAAATAATCAAATACTAATTTAATTTTTATTTATTATTAAAAAAAAAAGTATTTATTAAATCCAACATTTACAACAGAGCAAATTAAAGAACTAGATAAAAATACTAAAAATTCTAAAGCATTAGATGGTTCATTTTATTTACCAGGTATTATAGGTTTAAACAATTTAAAAAACACATCCTATGTAAATGTTATTATTCAATCATTAGCAAGAATACCAACTATTAGAGATTATTTATTGGACTTTAATAATATTAGCAACTGCAAGTCAATATTGGTTCAAAGCTTTTCGGAACTCCTAAGAAAGATTTGGAACCCAAGAAACTTCAAACCACAGGTATCACCACACGAACTATTACAAGCAATTCAAAATGCAAGTCAAAAGAAATTTAATATTAGAGAAACTGCAGACCCATTAGAGTTTCTTCAATGGTTTTTAAACACACTTCATAGAGATTTAGGTGGAACAAAACAACCAAACTCCAGTATAATTTACAAAGCATTAAGTGGTCAAATCGAAGTTACAACGGAAAAACCAATTAAAAACGATGATGATAGCGATGATAGTGATAGTGAAATGAAGGATGGCAATAAATCTAAAAAACCAGTTCAATATTCAACCAGCACAATGAGAAACCCATTCCTCTTCCTCACTTTAGACCTACCACCAAAACAAATCTTTAAAGATTCACAAGAGAAAAGCATCATTCCTCAAGTACCACTATTCAATCTTTTATCCAAATATGATGGCAACACAACCACTACAATGCCAAATGGTGATCTCAAAAAATATAAAATTATTCAATTACCAAAATACTTAATTTTGTGCATCAAAAGATTTTCAAAAAACAATTTCTTTGTGGAAAAAGAGCCAACCATTGTTAATTTTCCAATCAAGAATTTAGATTTAAGTAGCTGTAAGTAACAATATTATTTTATTTTTTGTATTTTATTTTTTTTATTTATTTTTATTATTTTTTGTTGTTTTTATTTTTTGCACGCGTTTTTATTTCACTTTTTTTTTTTTTTTTTGCATTATTATAATAATTTTGTTGTTATAATAATAATATTTGCAGATAAACCTAAAAAAAAAGTTTTTACAAAATTTGTTTTTTTTTTATTAATATAATTGCGCCCATTAATAATGTTATATGTTTGCAACCAATAATAAGCAATTAATTTTATGATATTTGCAAGAAAAAACGAAGCTAATGGGGTGATTAGTGGTGGTTAAACCACTATTTTTTAATTTTTGTCATTGTGTTTGTGTGTTGATGTGCGCCATTTGTTAAAAAACTTTTTTTTTTTTTTTCAAACAGTCGTTTTTAGATTTCAAAAAAAAATATTCAATTTTTCAATAATGATAGAAGATAATTGTAAAAGAGAAGTTTTTATCATGCAAACATTCGTTTAATTTAATTTAAACGAATTATATTTATAATTAATCGTTTTTATTGTTCATATTTCGCATAGGTTTTTTTATTTATTTATTTTTTTATTTTTTTAATCATTTATTGTGTGTCTGCTCGTTTCTTTTTTCCATCTTTACTTTCAAGGACAGATATTTAAATTTTTTTGCTCGTTCGTAATTTATTTTTTCAATTTTTTATTTCAAAAAAAAAAAAAAAATTTTGCCAAAAAACCTATTGTGTATAACATATATCACACGAAATTTTGTCTAAATTAATACAATATCTCTAATTCAAAAATATCAACAAACACATTGGCTATAGAATATTCAATAGAAATTTTGTTTTATCAAATCACCTTTTTTTTTATATTTTATTTTAAAAATCAACAATACCTTTTATTTTATGTTAAAAAAAAAAAAATAACCACAAAGAACGAGTGTTTATCGTTTTTTTAAATTATATATTTCTTTTTTTAAAATACTAATTTTTTATTTTTATACAGATTTACCACCTGATGCTTCAAAAGCAAAATACAATCTTTTGGCAACAATCAAGCATGAAGGAGAGCCTAATAGTGGTAATTATTCCGTATATATTTTGAATAAGGTAAATATATTTACATACTATAAAATATTAATATCTTTCATATAATCACAATGAATACTAATTTTATTTTTATCATTTCAACCACCAAAATCCACCAACAATCAAAATTTCATTCAAAACTACATCGACATTTTAATGCAACCACGAATTTGTTCACATAACTATTTTTCAAATCAATTATAATAATTTTATTGTTAATTTTTTTATCGTCTTTATTAAAACTACGATCAATCATTGCTTATTAATTTTAACCATCGCATTTTTCAAAAAAAAAAAAAAATATCAACTTTAAAAAAATGAAATGGTTTTTTATCTCAAAGGGTAAAGATAAATGGTTCGAAATGCAAGATCTAACTATAAAAGAAACCATGCCCCAATTAATAGCAGTTTCTGAATGTTATTTTTTAATATATGAAAAAATAATGTGATTTTGGAAACTGGTTTGTGGATTATTATAATTACCTAAAAAAAATAAAATAAAATAAAAAAAAATAAAAAAAAATAAAAGTTGAGTGGAATCACTCCATAAAATATCTTTTTTTTTTTTTTTTTTCAAATTCTCTTTTAAAAAAACAACAACGATCATTAATATGCCCATAAAAAAAATATTTTCTTATAAAAAAAAAACCAAATTAGATATTTTTTTTTATTTTTTTTTTGTGTGAAAACAACACACTATATTGATTTGGCGTCTAGCGATAATACATGCACGCTATTTTTTTTATTTTT